GGGTAAGAGTGACCTTTGTTGCGCGACTTTCTGGGGGCCGCGGGGGGACCAAACCCGGGCGCGCAAGCAGCTGCTGCTGCCTCGTTCTTAGCCGCCTGGGGACCCATCTGTGCCCGCACCAAAGGTCACTCCGGCGAAAGGTCACCCTTTCGTCCAATCGAAACAATCTTTCGACCAGGAGCGAGATGTGAGGGCCCCAGGGCCCGAAGACGGGCAACACCGCCCGGTGTGAAAACAACTGCAGCGCCCGGATCTCGGAGCCTGCTCCTGCGCGGGCTCGGCGAGCGCGGGCGCGGCCTCGACGCGCGCGGGCGCCTTCTCTGCGGAGGGCCACGCGAGGGCCTCCGTGAGCTCCGCCTCCACGTCCTTGGAGAGCCACCTGCGGAGCTCCAGGGAGTACGCCTCGCCCTCCTGCGCCACCGGCAGATCCCTGGCGGAGTCTGGCACCTCTGGAGGGACAGAAACATATCGGGAGCGACCAAGAGGGGGGTGTCCAAGAGGGGGGGGGGTGCAAATCATGACCGGCGGCATGTGCGCGGCCCAGCGAGAGGGCCAGGGACGTAATGAAAAAAGAAGAGGCGCCATGAAATCTGGGGAAATATCATGACCCCCGCCATGATATCCACCCCCCCCTAGTCATCACCCCCCTCTTTTCCGCCCCCGAACATACCGATACCGCCACTCCACGGACCGGGATGCGTTCTGACCAAGATGTCGAGGCGAATCCAACGACCAAGGGAAAGGTAGTGTCGTATGGGTATCTTTCCTCCTCTGCGCCTCCTTGAAGGCATCCAGCAGGTCCCTGGCAGAGTCCGTTTCGTCCTTTCGGGCGTGAAGCAGCTAGGCTCAGCGCACACCCAGCTCAGCCAATTGAGAAAAGATGCGCTGCATTTGTTGTTGGGTGATGCCTAAACCTGGCCCCGTCAACATGTAAGGCGACCTCGAAGGCCGCCAGCGGCTCCCAGACCCAACTCAGCCAGACTCTGGCTTTGCAGGGTCCTACAGGATCCAACATTCTGGCTGAGCTCCGTGTGCGCTGAACTCCGTTACTTTGAGGACTCCGTAACTTCGGGGATCCAAGACCGTTGGGAGACGGACCGCGTTGTGACCTCGGAGTTCCCAACCTCACCGTGCGGTCCGTCACCGCACGGTCTCTTGGGATCTCGGAGGCCCTGGTCGCCCGAGACGTCCTCGCAGAACGACCCGACTCCCAAAACCGCGCGGTGACTCCGTATCTCGCAGAACGACCCGACTCCCAAAACCGCGCGGTGACTCCGTATCTTGGATACTTGGAAACGAGCACGAGCACCAACACTGGGGGTTACCGCCACCGGGGAAGATGATGCAAGATCCTGGTGTTGGTGATAAATCTTTCGGCCGCCCTTACTGAGAAGCCCGAACATTACCACCATCACCGAGATCGGGATCGTCTTCCCAAGGTGGAGGCACGCCGCCGATGTTGGTGTTGGTGTCAACCTCTATGCCTCCGAGAACCCCCACTGACTCACCACACGGTGTGGTCACCGATGACCCGCATCCCCACTGACTCACCACACTAGCCCTCCTCCGAATGTTGGGTTTCGAGGCCATGGCTCGGATCTCTGGCGGCCGGCCGGGATGATCCGGGCAGCCTCGGAACGCTCTCTCGGCGAGGCGCAGCTGCTGGAAGGCATCCCTGGGGGCAGGAACACCATGAGGAGCCCACGGAGAGGCCCGAAAACCCCCACGATCTCCGCCGAGTCACCACGCGGTGCGGTCACCACACCGTCTGTGGGGGCCGCCGCGTTACACGTGCGCTCCCCCATCCTTGGGGGCCGCCAGCAGCCCCGCGCCGGCCGCCACGGGCGCGGCGGTGCGCGTCGGCGCGGCCCGCGGCCGCGGCATCAGCCAGGTGCCGACGGAGGGGAGGGTCCTACCGGAGGAAAGGAAAAGCGAGGCCACAACCAGCAGGGACCACCAGCGGGAGGAGCCCAGGGGTGGTCCCCTGGTCGAGACATCCCCCATCCCTGGGGTAGAGGGGGGCAATCAACTAGTGAACGCTCCCCCCTCTCCCCCGAATTCGAAGTTGGCCCGCGCGGGGAAGACTGCCGTCGAAGCTCAACTCATTCAACCCACCGTCAGCATGGATCCTTGGGGGGGGGCACTGACAGGATGAGTGTGGCATGCATGTTCGCTAATTTCTTCCGAGACCAGCAGCTCGGAGAGGCATCGTGGACCTCCTCTCGGGGATCTTCAGATCTTCAGACCTGGGTCAATCCAGACCCGGGTCAGCAGGAAACCAGACAACTGCAATGCAAGAAACACAAACTGCAGCGCAGGCCTTCGCAAACCCGGGTCAGCCGATATGCGCGGCCGCCTCGCGGCCACGAACGGCTCGCGAACCCGGGTCAGCCAGAGGGGGTCTTCGCAGGATCCTGCAGGATCCGTTGCCGTGGCTGACCCCCGTTTGCATTGACCCCCGTCTCAAGGCTCCCGATCCTCGCTGGAGCGGCCCAGCGGGGGAACCAGGGACGTAATGAAATAAGAAGAGGCGCCATGAAATCTGGGGAAATATCATGGCCCACGCCATGATATATGATATCCACCCCCTCCTAGTCATCACCCCCCTCTTTGCCGCCCCCGAGGAGAGGCATCGTGGACCTCCTCGCTGGAGGTGGCTCCCCCGGTGACGGTGGTGACGTCGCTTCTCCTTCCCCCGGTCCGCCAGCTGCCCGGCGGCCGGGCCTGCACCGGGGCGCCCAGCTGGCCCTCCTCCGCAACCTCGGGGGGGGGGGGGCTTGGGAAGCAAGAGAAGCTGCAAGCATCTTTGTTGCGAGGTCCTTTCAAGCAGTGTTCTTCTTCCTCCTCCTCCTCCTCCTCCTCCTCCTCCTCCTCCTCCTCCTCCTCGTCCCTCTCCCTCTCCCTGTCCATCTCCCCCTCCTCCTCGTCGTCGTCGTCCTCCTCCTCCTCTTCCTCCTCCTCCTTCTCCTCCCTGCTCCCTCTTCCTCCTGCCCACGCATTCTCGCCGTTTCTTTCGGCTTGGGTCCTCTCTGGGGCCCCGGGCCGTCAAAACTTACACTCGGGATGAAAAGCCCGTCCTGGGAAATGGGTCGGGACTTCCGGGGGGGGGGCCGGAAAGAACCCACTTTTTTTTGCGTCGGCGGCGAGGCAGGGGTCGTCTGCGCTAGCGGGAAGGGCCTCAACGGGGGTGCCGTTGAAGCGAATTGCGCCACCATGCAGGAGGGAGGGGAAGAGCAAAGGACGCGGCCGAAAAAGGGGGCGGAAGGAGCATTTTGGTTCTCCTCCTCCTGCTCCTCCTCCCTCCTCCTCCCTCCTCCCTCTTCCTTCCTCTCTCTCTCTCTCTTTCTCCGAGACGCTCAGGGGGACGGGTCACGCCCCGAGCGAGGGGCGCGGCCAGCCCCGGCGGCGGGAAGGCAGCGGCTGCTGCCCCAGGGGGCCGGGGAAAGAACAAGCTCGAGGCAACGGATCCCTGGTCGTGCATTTGGGAGGGGGCCGGGCGAGGCAGCCATCGGCCCTGTCCCTGGTGTCTTGTTCGTCCCTGATGTCAAAACATGAAGGGGCCCTGGGACACACAAACAGATACACACAAATTACAGGATTCCCTATATTTTCCCATATGTTCTGGGTTATTGTCTTCCCCCCCACTTCCTATATTTTCCTATGTTTTCTCGGCAATCGGCGATTCATTGTGTCTGTGTGTTTTTCCTTCCTGAAAAATAACCGAATGGTGCCCCTGGCCCACGGGGTCCCCAGAACCCCATCGCTCGGACGTCCATTCCCTGTGTTTTTTTCGGTTTCGTGCGTGGCTTCGTCGCCAAATGATCAAGGATGCTCCTCGATGCTCCTCGCCGAAGGGAAAAGGCACACGTCCGAGCGATGCCCAGGCCACGAGGCCCAGGTCACAGGGGCTCCAAACTGACTCGAAAGGCTGAGGGCACAGGGGCCCGACTGCACACGCCGGGCAACACCCTCCCGGCAGGGCCGAGAGCGCACGCGGGGCGAGGCGAGGCTCGGCAGACGCGGCGTGCCCGTGGTGTAGAACTCCCGAGCGCGCGAAGGCTGTCGCGTGCACATCCGCGTGCCAGCTGTGGCTACACCTTGCGAAATGCTTAAGAAATCATGAGTTAAGAAATTCAGAGTCTCAGAACTTGAATAAATACCCAAAGCTCATATCAAAACCTTAGGATTTACATTGAAACGTTAAGAATAATCGAGACTCTGGCCGAAAACTCAAGTTTTCTTAAGCATCGCTTAAGGTGTACTGCGTCGTGCCGACGGGTGGTCACGAATTGCTCAAGCGGCTTGAGTGACATTGCTTGAATGAAAAAGGCGGAGGCTCAAATACAATCGGGGCGTTGGCCTAAGGAACCCTAAATAAGGAGCGAGGCCCCTTTTTTTCCATAAGTTAGACTTCGATTTCCTATCGAAAATATGAAGAAAACCTGAGGCAAGCTGTGAAACACGTAAAGAACGCGGAACCCCTCCCCAACCAAAAAGGTTCCTTCTTCAGGGCCCCGACTGTACCCAAAGCGTACGGCTGTAGGCGTGGGTGTGAAGCCAGAGCGTCCGTGTTGAAGACGCGTGGCTTCGCATTGGCGACCCCAGATTGAACATCCAGGAGGTGCCTGGGCTACTGATCTAACCTTACCTAGGGGGCAACGTTGCGGGGGGACTGGCACAGGGCGTGAAATATCGAGCCCAGGATCGGCGACACAACCCCGACAGATCGGCGGTACAACCCCGACAGCGACTCCGCAAACTCCTGCGCAGGTTGGGGCTGTCGGGCCCCTGTCGGCGGTCAGTGGGCGATTGGTGACAAACTTCAACCCCCTCCCTCCCTACAACTGCCAGAGGCCATTCCAGGATACGCATGCGTACTTTCTGGCGCAGCCAGGCGATGCGCACGACGGAGACGTGCCCTTAGACCCCCATCAGGGGTCGGCTGGCTCACTCCCTTCTGAAGTATGAGTGGTAGGTTGTGCTTCCGTCCTCGCGTACGACGAAGATGCAAGAAACACAAGTTCTTGTGTCTCCGTATTGTCTTTTCGTTATGTCTCAATGTTTTCTTCTTCTTGTTTTTCTTCCTCCTTCCGTCTTCTTCTGGCTGTGCTTTATTATTATTATTATTATTCTTCTTCTTCTTATTATTATTATTGTTATTGTAACGCGTGCGAAGGCAGCGGCGTGCCAAGGGGGGCGGCTGAGCACTCCGACAAAAGGGGGGCGGCGCGGTCGCCAACTCCGTGCACGTCGCCACGGGCCACGGCATCGCTGGCCGTTGTGTTGCGAAGGAACGATGGCGCAATCTTTCCCCCGACGGTCCTGGGAAAAAAGAAGCCGTCAAGTGTCCATAACTAGCACGGTGTGCTGTTGGCGCAAACAAACACCGAACTGTTTTTGTTACGCTCATGACTCCGTACTACGAGTTCCCTATTCCGTGCTACGGGTACTGGGCCTTCACCTGCCGCCCTTCCTCCGTCCTCCGCCCTCCCTGCTCCCCATCTCTGTCTCGCTCCTTCGCTCTTGCCTCTCCTCTCCACCTCCTGTGGCATCTGCCGACCCTTGCCCCCCTGCCTTGCCCTATTCCGGTCTTCTTCATCCTGCCCGTTCCTGCCTTCTCGTCTCCTCGTCCTCTCCTTCTGCTTTTCCGCATCCTCGTCACCACAACAATCCGCAGGCCGTTCCTTCACCTCCCAGCTCTCCCAATTCTAAAAAAGCGCCTCCTGTTCGGTTCAAACCTACCCAGCCTACAGCATCGGTGCTACGGAAGCCGATTTCGGCACTACGTCGCTGTATCGGGATCGGGATCCTGGGGTTAAGTCGGGCCTGTCCCCCTACAGGGGGATGTTCGACGACCCTAAAATAATCAAAAAATATTTCAAAAATAATCTGGGGACTATGTTTGGGTGCATTTGTTTGACATGTTTGGTATATGTTTTGGATATTTTTGTTTTTCGTCTAGAATCCCCCCGTGGGGGGACAGGCCCGACATCAGCCCAAAATAAAAAAGTCCAAAAATGGTATAGGGACTATGTGTGGTGTATGTTTTTGACCTTTTTGGTATATGTTTGGGATATTTTTGTTTTTCGTCGAGAATCCCCCTGTGGGGGGGGACAGGCCCGCCATCAGCCCGGGGGTCGATGCATCCCACCCTGAGCGTATCCTCACCCCCCACGCTGCCCCGTGGTCTTCCGGGTTCCAGCTCGGCTCGGCTCTCCTGCGGCCGTGCGAGACGACTCGGGCACCCCCCGGGGACGTCCTCGGCGGGGCGCAGCTGCTGGAAGGCACCCCCAGCTGCTGGAGGAGGAGGGAGGAGGAGGAGGAGGAGGGAGGAGGAGGAGGAGGAGGAGGAGGAGGAGGAGGAGGGAGGAGGAGGAGGAGGAGGAGGAGGAGGAGGAGGAGGGAGGAGGAGGAGGAGGAGGCGGAGGAGGAGGGAGGAGGAGGAGGAGGAGGAGGAGGAGGAGGAGGAGGCGGAGGAGGAGGCAGAGGAGGAGGAGCAGAGGAGGAGGAGGAGGGGGAGGAGGAGGAGGAGGAGGAGGAGGAGGAGGAGGAGGAGGAGGAGGACCACCGAAAACCTCGCGCCTCAGCCTCGAGAACCTCGAGACTCGAAAACCTCGAACGGTGCCCCTGACAGCAAGCGGGGCCCGGGCTGCACGCTGCCATGCACCCGCGCGGGCTGCGTGCTCGCGGGTCCTCACGGGGCGTGAGGCGTGGGGCCTGCGGGTGTGGGCCTGCCCCAACTGCAGCGTGTGGCGCACTGTGCGCCATCTCGCTGAGTCTGGGCTGGGGAAAGCTCCTGACAACTTTCAGGCCTGAGCTGAATCGAATGGCGAAACGGCATCGGCTCGGAAACAGATCCGATCACCAGCGAATCGTACCGAATCGAGTCGAAATCGGGTCGCCGCGCCCCGCTCCAGCTGGCCCTAGCCGCTGCCTGCGAGTCGAACCGCACCGGACGGAATCGCAATCGCGGCCCGATCGAATCGCATCCAATCGGATCGTACGCAGCCCTGTCGGACACGACGACGCATCAAAAGACGAACGACGAAGGGGTCAACATCTGCTCTTTGGGGCATTGCGCTTGCATGCCACAGGGAGCTTGGGTGCGCCCCCCCGCTTCTGACGGCCTCGTCTGCGCAGTCCTCTACCTTGGCGCACGCAGCGTCGGTGATGAGAGGGTCTGCGCCAGGGGCCGGCGTCAAGCAGAGCGGGGCCAGCTCGGAAGCAGCAGGCCTAGGTCCAGCGGTGGGCCTGAGCTCCGCAGCGCTCTCCGGCGCCAGGGCCGGCGCCTCGGCCGCGCGCTTGTCCTTCTTGCCCTTCTTGTCCTTCTTCTCCTTCTTGTCCTTCTTCTCCTCCCCAAGCACCCAACATGAAACTTTCCTCGTGGCATGGGCCCCTAAGACATCACGACCCCATCTCGGAGACATAGCTTTCGCACGTGCGATTCTTCCACAAACGGAACTTACCTACTTCTCTGTTGCACATAATAGGGTCAGTGTCGATCATCCATGTCCTCCACGGTGCACTCGGGGGTTCCTTTGCGGCTCATCGGGAGTTTTCTGCTCTGCTTACGATACACTGCATCGATTTGCATTGCTTTGCTTTGCATTGCTCTGCAGTGTTCTGCATGGGTCTGTATCACATTGAGCTGCGTTGCATTCAGTGCACATGTTTGCTTTGCTTCGCAAGCATTGGTTTGCATTGCTCTGCAGTGTAATGGTTTGTCAATCATCCACACTCCCTGTGGTTCCTTCGGGGGTGCACGGGGATCCCCGAGGCTCCTATGAATTACGCTGCCTTGGTTGATTTGCCTGTGCTTTGCATTGTACTGTGTGTTGCACGAACTTGCTTTGATTTGTTGTGTTGCTTCGCATTCATGGCTGTCAATTGTACTGTATGCACTGCGTTGCCATCGCTTCGTATGAATTTGCTTCGCATTGCTACTCAATGCAATCCGCTGCGTCGTCTCTCCTCGGTTCGTCTCTCCTTGGTTTGCACTGCGTTGCTTGCAATGCCTTCCTTCAATATGCTCTGAACTGCTTACTATTGCACCGCGTTGCTATCCACTGTTTATCTCCTCTGCTCTGAGATGCTGAGCGCTGCATTACCGTCCCTTGACGTGCTCTGATCCGGGGGGGGAAAAGGGAGGGAACGGCCCCTAAATAAGGTCGCACCGGGTATTCATCCCGGGCCGTATTCTGCTGGCCCTGTTGCCCGAGACGGGCCCCGGGGCTCCACAAGCCAAACACCTGAAAAATCAGCCAGACGCCTTGTTTGAACCGTTTCTCCTTCGTGGCAACACGTGTGGCGCATACCGGCAGAAGGGGGCTGCCTTGAGAAGCAAGCACGCTCAAGGTAGCAAGCCGAAGTTGAGGTATCGCAGCTGTCACTGCAACCACACCTGAATGGCGATCTGCCGACGAGGTAGCAGGCCAGCACGCGAGTCGAGGATGCTATTTCCCAAACTGCGGCCTGCCTTCGGCGTATACTTGGCAGCAGACATCTGGCCTTCCTCCTCGGAGTCCAATCATGGCCGTGTCCTGGAGTGCGCTCTGGCCAAATCCCACCAGCCCCCAGAGGCCCCAAGAGGCACCCAGGAGGCCCCAAAGAGGATCCCGAACGGCCCACAGAGGCCCCCCCGAGGCACCCAAGACGCCGAAAAGCCCCTCAGGACGACCCTCTACTCGCCTGGGCGTCGTTTCTGGACGGGCTGGTGGGGATACGCGAAGCGTCTAGAATTTCTGAGCTGCGTCCTCCAACCATGCAGACGAGGCCGTGCTGGGATCCCCAACGATCGGCCCACAGCCGCCCGACATCGATGCCTCAGACAGACCTGCCAAAAGACAGACACAGCACGCCGCCTCGCTTCTCTGTCCGTGGCACCAGCCTTCCCTACACATCTAGGGAGCCCACAAAAAGACGTACGCGCCCAGCTATGTACATGAACACGGCCCCTCGATCCGCGAGACCGGCCGAGTTATACGAGCATTTGCGCAAGGCGTACTCTCGAAACCAGCGTGGACTCATGTACGTGTACGTCCTTCTTTCGCTCCTGAACAGCCGATGCTGAGCTGTGCTTCAGGGCGCGGCTGCCGACACCCCGACTCCTTCCTCGCACGCCGTCGTTCGTCCCAGATCGTGCCTGCATGGTGCCGGGGGCCCGAACCCGGCCCCCCAGAAGCCGACATTGACGACGGAACGCCGCAGAACTCTCGGGAGCGGCCAAGACGGGGGGTGTCCAAGAGGAGGGGGGGTGCAAGTCGTGACCGGCGGCACGTGCGCGGCCCAGCGGGGGAGCCAGGGACGTCATGAAACAAGAAGAGGCGCCACGAGATCTGGGGAAAGATCATGGCCCACGCCATGATATCCACCCCCCCCTAGTCATCACCCCCCTCTTTTCCGCTCCCGCAGAACGACACAAAAAGACAATCCGCCGGAGATCTCAGAAACGTGGAGGGCTTCGAGGAAGCCACCTGCCCTCTCAGCAGCCCCCCCCGCCTCTGAAGGCCGCCCCCCTCGCGCCACCCCCTCTTCTGCACGCCGCCAGGACTGTCTGGGTCCGGGTCTGCCCATCCGCCGTCGGTCAGAAGTAGCACAGCCTGTCCCCGGAATAGGGAGCCCAAAAAGGACGTACGCGCCCAGCTATGTACATGAACACGGTCCCTTGAAACGCGAGACTGGCCGCGTGATACGAACATTCGCGCAATGCGAACTCTCGAAACCAGCGTGGATTCATGTACGTGTACGTCCTTCTTTCGCTCCTGACGGGACACCGCCCAGGCGGCGCCCTAGATGCAAGTTGCACGAGCTGCGCCCAGCAGTGACCACGAGGGCCCATCTATTGAAGGGGAATGCTGGGCTGAGACCAGCTCGGGACGTGGAAACATCGAGCTTCCATCGGGGATACATCGCCGATGGATCGGGGAAAGGCCTCCTATGGCGAACCCGCGCGCGCTCCTGGGCAAGTTGGGGCTATCGGGGCTCCATCGGCGATCAATGGGCGATTGGGGGTCGATGCGTCCCCCGTGAGGCTTTCCCCTCCATCGCCATCTCACTTTCGGGTCGGAACTTGGCTCTCTGGTGGACGTGTGCTGGACGACCCGGGCACCCCCGAGACGCCCTCGGCGCGGCGCATCTGCCGAAGACATCCCGAGGTTGGAAGAAAGCCGACAGCGAATGCAAATGCCATGCATCGAAGGCCCGAAAATCGGCGGTGGACAAACCTCCCTTTCGTAGACCTCCCCTTGGTGAAAACGGCCTGGGACCGACACCGACGGACCTGGACCCGCAAAAAATGACGGCCGCGACACCCTCTCGCGAACCGACAACGGCCAATTCCTTAATCGACGTGTCAGGGTAGGAGGTCTGTCCACCCCCGAGAAAACCTCGAAGCTCCCTCGGCATGATGCCACGACGGACACCACTCCTGCAAGACACGGGCCCTGGACTTCGGGGGGCCTCTCCCCGAGACCGGGGATCTTCATCCCGCGTCGTGTCATCACAGCCCCCGGGGACGGTGGAGGGCCCTGGGAATCCAAAAACGTGGAAGAAACTCTCTTTTTTTCGGAGGAGGAGGAGGAGGAGGAGGACGCGGCCACAACATGTCCCCACTTCGCGGCGGGCAGCGCCGAGCGACAACAAAACGTTGAAGAAACTCTGGGCCCGTTTCCCTCAAGACCTTTACATCTCATGGTGTACTCTTACGGCCCTAAAGCCCGTTGTTTTATGATTGGCGATCACACTCGTGACCGGCCCGCCCCCCTCCCTCCCCCCCCCATTCTCTGACGGCGGCGGCGCGAAACATGACGTGACGCCCGTGCTCGTCAAGGAACAGAAAGACTGTCTCCGAACGTTGCCCCTGAAATTCGGGCGGCCCGGGCCCGGAGGCAGTCGAGGGTCCTTCTTCTCCTTCGCCCCACCATGCCCGCGCAGCTGCAGGACGGGCGCCTCCTCCGCGCACGCCGAAGCCCGCAGGTCGTCCAGGTTGATTTCCCCCTGGCTGCGGGGGAACGTCAGGGGGGGGGCAGCCTCCTCTCCTTCGTCCTCTTCCTCCTTCTCCTCCGACCCCTTTCCACCTTCGGAGCTCGGAGTTGCGGCGATGCCTCCTCCTCGTCTCCCTCCTCCTCCTCCTCCTCCTCCTCCTCCTCCTCCTCCTCCTCCTCCTCCCCTCCTCCCCTCCTCCCCCCCCTCCTCCCCTCCTCCCCCTCCTCCCCCTCCTCTTCCTCCTCCTCCTCCTCCTCCCCCGCCTTTCCTCCTCCTCCACCTTTACTCCTCCTCCTCCTCCTCCTCCTCATCCTTATCCTCATCCTCCTCCTCCTCCTCCGCCTCCTCCTCCTCCGCCTTCTCCTCCTCCTCCTCGGTCGACCGATCGTCAAGGCGCTCACTCACTCTAAGAAGCCCTGCGCCGTCCGGCGCGTGGGCAGGAACACGGTCTCCAGCAGCGGCGCGAAATGTAGGGTGAAACGCTGCGCTGGCTAAGAGGATCAAGAGGAGGAGGAGGAGGAGGAGGAGGAGGAGGAGGAGGAGGAGGAGGACGAGGAGGAGAAGGAGGAGGAGGAGGAAGAGGAGGACAACGCCGATGAACAGTCGTGCAACTGAGGAACAAGAGCACGGGCCACCATTTGGCACGAAGCCCACAAAATTGGACGAGCTGCTTGCCCGTCTTGGAGTGTTTGCCAACACAGATCGCAGCGATATATCATACCGCTGTCTGGACCTGGCTGGCTTATTCTCGGCAGGACCCTAGCTTTCCAGATCGAGATTACATGTGGGAGCCTGAGGGAACGCTTGATACGAGCCACACAGGGTGCACACCATGGCACCACCCTGGGTCACCAGAACCTGGTTGAAGGGGCCCCAGGACTGTCGATGGTTTTTACTTGGACCAAGGGGCTACAGATTAGCATGTACAGTCAACACGCCTCCAAGATGCAGGCGAGCGCATCGCCTTGCATCTTCTCTGTACTGCGGCTCGAGCCTCCCTTCTGAAGGCTCAAGCTCAAGCCAAAGCGGGCGTCCCCGCCGTGGCTCCCGCGCGCCTGCGCCTGACGCGCGCCCTCGGCTCAAAGGAGCGGCCTCTGGCCGCGCCCTCACCCGTCTTGGGTGGCCCTCAAAGGGTCTTTCTTTCGGCGCGGACCTACCCCGTGCTGCTGAGAAGCGCGCCTAGGTGCGCGCCTAGGCTAGCGTCCGAGCGGAACGCTCGGATGGGCACCCTGCCTGGGACCAGCCGCGCGGCCCATGCCGCTGCAGCTAGCCCCTCACTGCTGGCCATGTGCTGGCCGCCGTCCCTCGTCAGACGGACGATGAGGTCCGCCTTCAAGCCGCTCACTGGCAGCTTCCGCCACCTGAGCTCCTCCTTGAGCTCTGCCACGGTGGCCTCAGCCAGCATCTTCCCGAGGTACTCCGTACCGAGGTCTCGCCCTTCGGCGACCTGCTCAGGCGCAGCTATCGCCGCTGCCCGAGAAACGACATGCCCCTCAGGCGCGTCCTTCGACGCCGCCTCGGGCCTCGCCGTGCCGTCGGCCTGCGGGGCAGCCCTCGCCGCTCCCGCTGGTGGGGCAGCACTCGCCGCCCTCGATGAGAAGAGCTGCACCGCCCCTCTCGTGCACACAACTGCGCCCTTGACCATGAGCACCAGCACGACGATGAACATGATCATGGCGAGAACGATCGAGCCGATGTTCGACTCGACCTCGTCGTCGGCGGCTGCAGAGCACTGCTTGTCTCCATGCTCGGCCGCCTCCGCGAAAGTGACGCCCACACCTGCGGCGAGCCCCTTGGTCAGAAGCCGCAGGTTGGACATCTCCAGCAACTTGAGCACCCGCTTGCCGTCCAGATGCTTGGTCCCCAAGTCGCTCCTGTTGCTCTCCGTGTCGACTCGCCCGAGCTGCAACTCGCCGAGCCTGACTCGTTCCTGCACCCACAGGTCCCGTATCTGTAGATGCCGTACCTTGCCACTGCCAATCCGTGTCGCGATCGCCCTGCCTGCATTCGAGTCGCTGTGAACCTTCGACGCGACCTCGATGCCACACTGCTGATAGAACTGCCGCATCATGATCGCACTCGCCGCGCCTCGGCCGATGGCATAGAACTCGGCCTCTCCGCTGCTGAGCGCGACGACGGGCTGCGATGCCACCTGGGTCTCCAGGAGGTGGCTGCCGAAGAAGCCATACACGGAGCTGGTCGATTTCCTCGTGATCTCATCCTCTGCCCAGTCCGAGTCCGTCTCGTAGAGAACCTCCTTCGGCATCTCCTGCTTCTCGTAGAACCACCCGAGCTCGCGCCGACCGTGGAGATACCGCACACACCGCCTCAGCCTAAGCATGCTGATGACTGTGGGCTTCCCCATGTCCGTGAGGATCACCTTCACTGCGAACTGGATGTCTGGCCTGTCTACCGCCACGTAGTTGACGAGCCCCGCGACCTGCTGGTAGAGCTTCGCCTCGTCGTGTGGAAGTGGGTCCAGCGCCTCCCGGACGCTCTTGCCCGTGGCCTTGCTCCCAGGCGTGTCCGCTGGCTTGCACTCCGTAAGGCCCAGCAGCTCCACGCATCTCGTCACGTGCTTCGTGTCGCCGATCCAGACGAATCCCTTGCCTGTCCACCTGATCTTGCGCTTGAGGTACGGGAGCTCGCGGACGCCATCCGGCCCGACACGACCGATGCACTTGACGTCCATGCTCGCCATCAGCTGCTGGTCCAGGACATCCAGGGACTCCTCCTCGCCCTCGGTCAGGATGTCGTCACCGTGGATCGCCGAGGTCATGTCCAAGAGAGGCTCGTGGTACACGCCCGCCGCCACTGCGATGCGCGTCCAGTTGTTCTTCTTGAACACCCCGGCCACGTACTCCTGCCAAGCCTGTGCCGCCTTGCGCGTGCCGTACATGGCCTTCCGGAGCTGCCACACGTACCCGTCTCTCCTGAGTCCTGGAGGCGGGATGACGACGATCCACTCGTCGAGGTCGGCGTGGAAGAACGCCACGTGCACGTCATGCACCGAGAGATGCCTCCGACCCTTCTTCGTAGCCGCCAAGGAGACGATCGCCCTGACGATGGCGATCGGCGGCGTGCCCGCGTTGCAGTCCTCTCGGCCGTACGTGTTGATCTCCATGGCGACGCCTCGGGAACGGACGAAGGGGGCGCCGTCCTTGGTGCGCAGGTCCTCGACCCACTTGAAACGCACCACCTTGCCCCGACTCTCGGCCACGCGGACCTCCTCGAAGACGCCGTGTCGCCGCATCTCCTCGATCTCGGCCTCGCGTCCGCGCCTGACCAGGTCCCTGGGGAGCTCCTTCCCGCTCCTCGCGTCGTACACGTGCTTCTCCGCGTCTGGCAGGACCGTGATCGCCGACGGCTCGACGGAGCCGACCTCGAACATCCCGATCTCCAGCGGCTCGCAGCTCTCGATCTCCGTGACCGTCTCGAGCTCCTCGTGAGACTGCTGGTCTAGGCCCTCATACGTGCAGGGATTGATCTCCACGAAGGCCCCGACCGCGAGCGACCCGACTGTGATCGCCGCTGTCTGGCGCGGCCTCTTCGCCGAAGCCTCGCCCTGGTCATCGCGAGGTGCCATGCTGGCATCCCCGGACGATCCTGGCCTGCCGTCTCCAGCTCCAGCCGCTGGCCCCGGCGCGGCTCCAGCCGCCGCCGGCGTCGGCGCAGCCCCCGCCGCTGCCGACGAGGGCGCGGCCTCCGCCGCTGCCCTGGCCATTTCCTCCTTGCGCAGCTCGTTCTCGATCCTCTTCCGGCACTCCTCGCTGTGCGATCCCATGCCTGCGACGCACCTCGGGCACATGGGGGCCCAGCCGTACTTGTCGATCAGCGCTCTCGTGATGTACGTCGATCTCAGCCCTGCGCCTCCTGGCCCCGTGGGCGGCGCCGGCCCGACCATCGCTGGTGGCACCAGCGCCTCCGGGCCCGCGGCTGGCAAGACCACTGGCGGTGGCGGAGGTGGCGGCAGCAGCCGCTGCTGGTTCGGCTCCACCTGGGGCGCTCCCGTCGGCACAATGCCGATCTGTGGAGCTCGGTGCATGTCCCACGGCACCCCAGCGAACTTGTCCAGCTCCTCCAGCACGAACCGCTCACCCTCCGGCCGCCGTCTTACCGTGCGTACCCTTGTCGTGCGCGTCGGACCCGCCACCAGGTGCTCGTCCGAGACCTCTGTCTTGCCCAGCCACACCGCCGCGTGCCACCGAGGCTGCAGCTTGGAGGTCGGCGTGGGGTCCCTCGCCCAAACGCACTCCGCGAAGTTGACGAGCTCGCCCCGATACGGCCTCCCCTTGAGCACCTCGTAGGTCGTCTTGCCGTTGCCGTGCATCGTGAAGCGGTTGAGCTGCCAGCCAGCGTGCCGAATGAGCCAAGGTAGGAGCCCATGCTCGGCTGGGAGCTCCCGCCTGTAGTTGTCGCCCACCGAGAACAGCAGCGCCCTGATCTGCTTGCCGAGCTCCTCGTTGGCGCGCTCCACTCCACCAACTCCCTGATGGTTAGCCCGCTGAGCCGACTCGATCATCGTGGGCGCCTTCCTCTGAGCCTTGATCTCCCTCGCCAGGGCCGTGATCGACGCCTCCTGGTCGTGCTTCAGCACGATGCGATCCAGCCCCCAGTTCTCGATGGTGGCGACCGCTGTCTTGATCGTGTAGGCGTCGGTACCCTTCGGCCCCATGATGCCATGAATAGCCTGGGAGTTCATGTGCACCATGTTGAGGATGCTCAGCTGGCCCAGGAAGTAGTAGTCGATCTGGACCTCGTCGCCTGTGCGCTCGTGCCCAGCCTTGTAGTGTGGGTCGTCCGTGAACTTGGATCTGACGCACACCCAGCGCCAGGACCTCGCAGGGATGTGCACCAGCTCGTGCGTCCTCTGCTCGGCCAAGCTTGGCTTCACTGGATCCTTCTTGACTCGGACTGGCACGGACTCCTCGAGCTCTGCCTGCGCTGCTGGCTCGCTCGCCTCGGCCTGAGCGCGAGTCGCGGCGGCCCCTCCGCCGCTGCCGCCCTGGAGC